GCAGGGGTTGACAGGCTCTGCCGAGCGCTCGAATCCGGTTCCCACACTGGCGGGACCTAAAAGTAACATCCCCGAATGAGGTAACAGCACTTGAGTCAACAAACCTCCCCCGCCAGCTGGCCGGGGCGAGGGGACCCTCTGCCTGCCCCGGGATTGTCCTGCTCTCCCCAGACTGCTGGGTGTCTCCCAGCACTTCCCTCTCTGTGCAGGGCCCAGTGGTGCTGCATCCCCCACTGCAGCAGGTTCTGGTGCTCTCAGCACCCTGGACACAGCCATGTCCAGGCTGGGGATGCAGTGGAGTCGTCCTGGGGGTGGCCACAGGGTTATGTAACTCAATCCCAGCTTGGGGGTCCCCAACCACCTCTGACATCATCACCTCTTGCTTTACCTCTTGCATTTTGGGCTGAGTTGAGGAGCAGAGCATCCATCCCTCCATCCCTCCATCCCTCCATCCATCCCTTCCAAGGCCAGAGCACCCCAAGCAGCCAACAAAAAAAAAAAAACAGCTGAAAAGACACTTGACAGCCAGACCTTGGGAAAAATCATGCTATGGAATGCAAGGCTTTGGGCTAATAAGCCCTATTAAAAAGGTCATTAAGATCCTGCTATAATCAAAGGAAGGAGAAAGAGAGGAGGGTGGGGGAAACATGGACCAAACTGTTCAGTGCTCATGGAAAGCACCACCAGAAGATGAAGTATGCAGGGAACCAACCAGCCCATAAAAAAACCCCTTTGGTCCATCAAGTGATACCAACTGTATCTTTGGCTTTTTGTTTTTAGGATTTACAGTTGGAGTTCCTTTTAATTTCCAAGTTTACTGGAGAAACCAAGGTGCAGTGCCCACAATTCCTCGTTCAGGCCCAACTATCAGGTGGGTCCCTGCATTCCTGTTGCTCCCCACGAGGTCCAGGGGTGGGAGGTTCTGCATTGTCCTCTTCCCTGCCACGTGTGAGCTGGACGTGTTCCCCACCACAGCTCCCCTTTGCTGCCCTTAGTGCTTCCCTGGCTTCTTGCTAGATCTGACTCTTAGGTACAGTGCTGACTCTGGCTGGTTCTTGTAGCCCAGGCTTGGAGCTGTTTCTGGAACACCTCCTTAGAGCACACACTTTCCTGTTTTCCCACGGCTTGTGAAACACGGAGGATTTTTTCACTTTGCTGTCAGGATTTGGCTAGAGACTTCTTTACTAGGCCCACAAAGCAGGGAAAACAGTGCCATTTCTCTGTTATCTGCTCAGCTTAGGAGGCACAAAATTGGTTGCAATGCTCAGGAATGCGATGAGTGGAAATTACAGGGAGAGGGTGGGAGGATTTTGGTGGCCCAGAGGGCAACGCCATGGGAGGATTCACCCTGGCAGCCTTTCTGGGGCTGTTCTGAGGTGTAACTGGCACTTTGGCCTAACAGTGCTTTGGCTTGTTGTCCTGCCCAGAGGAATCAAAGGGAAGCAGGGCAGCAGACTCACTGTCTCGCCAGCTCCAGTGTGCTGCTGCCCAGGGAGCGACAGAGGATGCCAAGCTGAGGGTTCTGCCCACCCCTTAGCTCACTGGTGCTTCTCAGCCTTACCACCCCTCTCCAAAACACCTCCCAGCACAGCTCCAGCAATGCCACAGTGAGGACAGCAGGTCCTTGCAGGGCACAACTGTGCCCAGGAGGAGCAGGAAAGCATCACAGACCTCCCAGCAAACTCTGCACATCTGCTTTGCCCTGTGGCCTTCATCCCCCATGGACAGTCTAGACACATCACACAGACCAAATAAAACTCTGGCCCCTTCAGATCTGCC